CTTGCTCTCATTTTACCCAGCAAGATCATCTTTAGGTTATTTTAGGTTAGTTTAGGGACCTGGGTAGGAATCTCAAGGGTAGAGATGAAATTAATCTCTGGTGCTGAAAGGGATTCTGATTTCAAAGACTGGCAGCAAATCCACACTGGCCTCTCCTCCCAGAAATAAATCCAGAAATAAAAAGATTTCCCTTTTTACAACACTGAGGATAGCAATTTACCTTCTGAATCTCTTTGAGCAGCACACCATCCGTCATGAACTTGATCTGTGTTTCATCTGTAACGTTCCCTTCGTATCGGATTTGATAGGAAACCACTCTGTGGGGAAACACCAGGGCAGCCACAGCAAGAAGCGTGGGGAGAAGCAGAAAATCCGTGTCACTCACACCTCAGTGCCACCTCCCAGCAAGGTCTGGTGGCTTTTTGAAGCTCACCTGTGTGACAGGTTCATCTCCTTGGCGACTCTCTGGGACATGGACACCGCAGCCACGCGCCGAGGCTCCGTGATCCCGATGGCGCCGTCGGAACTAACGGGGGGGAAGAGAAAAGGATTAAACCTAAATTCAATTAAACACAGCCCAAAAAATGACAACAGGATTTCTCACTAATGGCTTAGAGTAAGTGGCATCAGCCACACAGCCTCACTCCCAGTCACAGCTGGAATAAAAACACAGACAGGAAGCTTTGGGATTCCCTTCTGTCTGTAGATGCATGGATTACAGCAAAGCTTTTCCCAAAATGTTGTCTCTGCAATTCCATTTGCTGCATATAAAATCCAGTTCCTACCTGGCATATCCAGCTTCATACAGGAACTGAGGCACTTGGGTGGTTTTGCCGCTCCCAGTCTCTCCACATATGATCACAATGGGATTCTCGTTAATGGCTTCCATGACCACTTGCTCTTCAGCAAGGATTGGGAGCTTTAGCCTTGCTTCCTAAACAGTGTAAAACACACCTTTTAGCTGTGTTGTTTCTCACTCCTTTTTTGTTTTCCTCAGGATTGAAAGCTGTTATCTTCCCCAGACCATAAAACCCCCAAAAAGCTCTGCAGGCCTGGGACTGGGAAAGCTCTAAACCAGTTAATACCACATGAGCACGTCTGAGCACCAGAGTCACCAGAGCAGCTTCCCAGAAAGCAGAGGGCAAGCCCTGCACTTGAACTGGTGAAACTTCAGAGTCCCTTGAGTTTCTTAATGTAGCACTTCAAGGGAAAACTCATTTCACAACTGTCTCATCTGCTAAGACTCATGCAGAGCTTTTCCTGTTTCTACACGGTGCCCTACCCACAATAAATGGGGCAAACCCATCCTACATAAGATACAGAATAATTGAGAGCTGAAAGGGACTTCAGAAGATTTTCCAGCAAAGGACAATAAAGGACTGTTAATAGATTCTGTACGTAAAACTAAAGATAAATGCTTATACCCTAAAACAAACAGAGTTTTCCTGCTGCTGGACCAGACAGGATTAAAGCTCAGACCTGCACCAGAACAAGGACCCTGAGTGCACCCAGCTGCTGGAACACACCATCCTCTCCAGCCCCTTTGGCAAGCAGGGTGCTGTTCAGAGCCTCACCTGGATCTCAGGTGTCCTGTCCACAGGGACAAACACTGCAGGCTTGCACGGTGCCTTGCTGGGGGCTGCCTGGGGAGCCGGGCTGCTGGGACCAGCTGGAGGCTGCTCAGCCCCTGCCTTCCCCACTCCTCCCTCTGCCTTTTCAGCAGCATTCACAGCATTGCCTGAGGACTTCTCAGTGTCTAGTTTCTGCTCTTCCTCCTCCTCAGAGCTGCTGGGCTCTTCCTCAGGCTCTGATTCTGAAGCTGAGCTGTGCCTTCTCTTGTTTGCACCGCTGATGCTCCTGATCTTTTCAGGGACATCGGTCCTTGGCTCCTGTGTCACCCTGGAAACAACATCCGCATGTCAACTGTGTTTTGGCACCCCAAACCAGACACAACCTCCCTAAAAACCAGGATCTCCACTCCTGGAGGTTTTCACAACTCTGCCAGTTGTGAAATCTTGGCTGATCTGATTGAGGGATTTGTACCTAACTTTCTGTCCTGGAGTTCATTAATTTCTCCTGAAGGCATCTCTGTAGTTGAATCTATAAATGCAGCTCCTGATAAATCCATCTCTTGATAAATCTAGCAACTACGGTCAACATCAGTAGATGTCTTCCAGTACAAGAAAACAAGTAAATGTTTATCCACCAATTCTGTAGTTTAGCATCATTTCTAAAAGCCTGCAGTTTGTGTCACCCACCTCACCCTCTATGAAAGACCAAGATCTTTCATCCTCTCATACAAGAAAATAACTATAACATCATGAGATATAAATAGCAAATTATTTAACTCCATCCATCCTGAGGAACCTGTTTGCACCAAGAAGAAGAAAAATCAAGGGAAAGCTCAGAATATGTTGCTGTTCAAATACAGTGATGAAATGTAAGGGTTCTACCCAAAAACCACTTTACCTTTTAGGTTGATACATGCGCTCCCCAATCCCCAGTTTGGAAGTGGTGTACAGGAGTTTCATTTCTGCCTCAGAAGCCTGGACCTCATTCAGCTTGCACAGCAGCTCAGCTCGCTGTTTGGGGAAAACAACCAAAATCACCGCTTGTTTTGACCAGGAAATAATTTCTTTTCCAGATTTGCACCTGAGCATTAAAAGGTGTGCTCTGGCAAATGCTGCTGTGCAGTCGTAAAACCTTCCTGCTGCTCCAGGGTCAGCCCTCCCTGGTGAAGGTTTCAACCCTGTACCAGAGCAAAAATAGAAATGGGGACTTGACATCAGTGCAATGAGCAGCTCAGCTGCACCCTAAGAACAGCAGCAAAGAAAATAGATTTGAACTAAAGCACTGGAATGAGGCCTGGAGCAACGGGAGCCTCCCCTCTAATCCCTCACGTGGGATATGGCACTGGCAGGAGGTCAGGCAGCCAGTCCTAAACTGCCTCCAAAACCAGAGCTCCCTTGTGAAAAACATTATTCAGACACTAACAGGACCGGGAACTTTGCCTGGGAAAGTTTTACAAAGACAGAAAAGCTCTTATTTCCACACTGAAGATGCACAAGAAGCGTTTCAGGAGCACTGACAGTGTTAGGTTTGCTGCTCACCCTGACCCACAGAGCTTTTAAAATGCAACCACATCACTGACTGCCAGTGGTGTACTGCACAACACTTGGTCAGAACAGGAACTTGGAGCCAGAAACGAAGAGTTCCTGCAGCACTGAGAGGGCAGGGAATGCCTTCCCCACTGGAGCTGCTCTCAGGAGCCCGTGGGTGATGCGTTTTTGCCGCACTGCCCAGCAAAGGGGGGCTGGAACAGCACCTGCACACCCCTGAGACATCACAAAGGGACAGGTCACATCCCTCACCAGCCCCTCATCATCACCCACCCTCCCCACACACCAATGTCAAACCATCATTTTAGAACAAGAGCCCAAACTGCTGTTGCCACAAACAGCAACATACCTGTTTTTTCTTTTCCTTCTGCTCCAAAACTTTCTGCAGGATTTTCTTCTGTTTCTTGCTCAGGGGTTTCTTCTGCTGTTGCACAACACACGACACTTTTTTCTTCTTGGCTTTTTTCGCTGGCAGGACCAGGGCATTGCTCTGATCAATTCCCTTCAGCGCTGCTCCATCTGAAGGCAAGGCTTTCATTATTCACTGCTGCCAGGTGGATTATTTTCAGCACACTGCTTAGCAGGTTTAGCAAGCACTAAGCCAGATTTAGCTGTTTCAAACAAACACAACCCTCATGCCCAGCCAAAAAAAATCCTGCAACATCAGCAAGAGCAAAAGACCTCGAAACGGGGGATTCAATGAACCCTGAGCTTTCTATAGGCCTGAGGGTGATTTTCAGTGATTTATGTAACAACATTATGCAATTTTTGCCTTTTTACTCAATTCCCCAGGGTCAGGACACGGTGTGCTCTGGGGTGTCTCCCCAGCCTCCTGCTGCAGTGACTTTTTAATATCAAAAAACTGCATTACTAAATTCTGAATAGTAGGAATGGAATAACAAACGCCATTTTTTAAAAGTAACATTCGAGAAAGCGAATGTTTAACATAAGAAATGTGTTCAGCTGTTGCTTTAATAGGTAATGGAACCACTGAGTGTCGTGATTCGGAGTCCACGAGTCCAGAACTCCCGGGAGGCAATAAATGCTGTAACAGAGCAAAAAGCGAGAGCACAGAATGAGGCTGGAGAAGACCTCCGAGACCATCGAGCCCAACCTGTGACCCAACACCAGCCTGCCCCGCATGGCACCGAGCGCCACAGCCAGGGACGGAACCACCGCCTGCCTGGGGAGCTTTAAAAACAACAACAGCGCTTCCGAGAGAAACGTAATCAGTATATATAGCAAGGACGTGCCAGAAATCTGGCATAATCTAAGATAGCCGATCCTAGCGGCTCTGCGGTCCCTTTTAGCCCGAGTTCTCAGTAATGAACAGAGCCCGCGGGAAGAGCCGCGCCGGTCCCGCCGCACCTCCCAGCTCCAGCGGCAGCTCCAGCGGCTCTGCGGCGGGCGGCGGCGCGGAGCCCTGCGGCAGCCGCGCCTTCCAGTTGTGGCGGCGGCGCGCTCGGCCCATGGCGGGGACGGGAACGGGAGAACGGGAACGGGGACACGGCACCACCGGGCCCGGCACCACGTGCGGCCCCCGCCACTTCCGGGAAAGCGCGGTCTCGCGAGAAGAGGGGCGGGAAGTGGGCGGAGAAATGGGCGGGAAAGGGGGCGGGGAAATGGGCGGGAAAAGGGGGAAGGGCGGGAAAGGGGGCGGGGAAATGAGCGGGAAATGGGGGGAAGGGCGGGAAAGGGGGCGGGGAAATGGGCGGGCGGATGCGCGGGGCGGCCCCGCGGGATCGGGACCCCCCCAAGCCATACCGGGACCCCCGATCCCAACCCATCCCATCCCATCATCCCATCCCACCCAAACCCTCCCACCTCATCCCATGGATCCCATCCCACCCCTCACAGCCTCAGCAGGCACTCGCAGCTCAGTGCAAAGTCTCAGTAAACATTTATTCGAAGCTTTGCCACAATACCTTAAGTTGATTTGTGAAACTGGTCTACAAATTCTGAACTACAGAGTACATGGTTTGGATGGTCCGATAAAAGAATAAATAAAGGCATGTAAAGCTCTGTAAAAAATAAGTCTGGTACAGTTGTAACTACTTAACAGTATTACCAGTAGGATCTTGTCTAGGATCAGAAGTGAATACACAGCATCTCTTCAGACCAAATCATTTTTACATAAACAATTGTACAAACTCAAACACCGTAATCATGAAACCTGATGTACAAAACAGGATGTGAAATCACTACCATCAGTGCCAACAACAAGTGCTACCACAGCAAATATAACTTCTGAATAAAAGGAAAAGGTCGTTTTTTACATGTGCTGTCATCACAGGTCGATGGAATTATCCAAAAAGTTTAAAATACATGCGGATACAATAAAACCTTTTATTTTCCAACCCAGACAAAGAGAACTCATGGTCACTTAACGCCATTAGCTGCCAAATACGGATCAGTATGTGAGGCAAACCACACTTAAACACTTCTACACCACCGAAGAGCTAAGGTTGATACTGGTCTATTTTCCACACCGACGATGCAACGAGTCTTGAGAAGCAAATCACGAAGTGAAGGACGCGCCAAAAGTACAGCACTGAGCTACACCAGGTTTGTACACACCCAAAACCACTGGGAAAGCGCCACATTCCACAGGACACATCGGTTATCTACAGGCGTGTGCGTCCGGAGGAGCCGCTCTGCCACAACGGGACAAACGCTGCGCCAGTTCCAAAGGCTGGCTCCCAAAGCAGGCAGGTGAAAAGCTTGGGAAGAGCAGGGAGCTCCCGATCCCGGGCAGCCAAAGCCCGTCCTCGGGGCTTGTGCCAGCTGCTCACGCAGAGATGGTTTCTCCGGCGGCTGTAGGAAGGTCTGGGAGCGGGATCCATACCGTGGGAGCAGCCAGGGAGCTGTCCCTGTGTCACCTATCCTTGCGTCACCTATCCCTGTGTCACCTGTCCCTGTGTCACCTATCCCTGTGTCACCTATCCCTGTGTCACCTGTCCCTGTGTCACGTGTCCCTGTGTCACCTATCCCTGTGTCACCTATCCCTGTGTCACGTGTCCCTGTGTCACCTATCCCTGCGTCACCTATCCCTGCGTCACCTATCCCTGTGTCACCTATCCCTGTGTCACCTGTCCCTGTGTCACGTGTCCCTGTGTCACCTATCCCTGCGTCACCTATCCCTGCGTCACCTATCCCCGTGTCACCTATCCCTGTGTCACCTATCCCTGTGTCACCTATCCCTGCGTCACCTATCCCCGTGTCACCTATCCCCGTGTCACCTATCCCTGTGTCACCTATCCCTGTGTCACGTGTCCCTGTGTCACCTATCCCTGTGTCACCTGTGCCAGTGTCACCTATCCCTGTGTCACCTATCCCTGTGTCACGTGTCCCTGTGTCACCTATCCCTGTGTCACCTGTCCCTGTGTCACCTATCCCTGTGTCACCTGTGCCAGTGTCACCTGTGCCCCAGCGATGGCAGAGCTGCTCCCCTGCTCCGTGAAATCACGGCAAGAAGCGGGAGCGATGAGTGCTGTCCCGTGCCATCCCTGCCCCGGGCAGTGTCACCTGCTGAGGGTGGTCCCGTGCCACCCCCAGGTGTCACCTGTTTGTCCCCAGGTGCCACAGAGCCCTGCCCGTCTCTGGGGGATACAAAAGCAGCGCAGCCACTGGCACGGGTTTCTAAAAAACAGCAAAAACCTCCATGGATAAACTAGATGGCCCAGTATGGAAAACACTTGTAAAAGGTATTTACAAAAGTTGAAAGAGATTAAATACAATACCACATTCATGTCCCCAAAAGCGCTTTCACTACAGTGCATGTTTAAAAATACACAGCATTTTTAAAGTATATATTTATATATATATATTTATATATATATATATATTGAAGATTAGATTGTGCTTTAAAAAAATTGTTACTTCTGAATTTGACTAACGTGAAAACTGAGTGCTGGGAAAAATACTGATTAAAAATACCCAATTTTATATATACTGCTTTTCACATAACATTTTGCTATACATGGGATGCAAGTAAATATAAAAATACCATTCTTCAAGCAGCAGGGTGATCGAAATGAAGAGCAATAATATAAGGAGGGCTGATTTTACAAAACTAAGTTAAATGATTAGAGCGAGACAGGGAGAAACTATAATCCAAATTAACTTTTATGTAATACTTTTAAAGAAATCTTTATCATAGACAACTCTTAATATATAAATGACTCCGTATTTTTAACTTCAATGTTAAATATGGATTACACAAAATACAATCTATGCAAACTGACCCATGCACATTGTCCTAAGAGGGCGATGGAGCCGCTCACACGAGCAAGGTTTGCAAACTTTGGTCCTCAGGTCTCAAATTTGACAAAACACATCAAGACCTGACAAGCTTTACTAGTCAATTCCTAATTTCCAGGTTGGTGTTTTAGCCCAGTCCTCTCTGCACAACAGCAGGGAGACTGAGTTTACAGGGAAGACTCTGTAATACTGTGGAAAATTAGCTGGAAAAAGGAATTTACTGTAATTTACATTTTCAGCTTGACAAAGTCGACTATTTGTTGCCATAGTCCCTATCTGTTCACCAGAAAGATTTCAAGTTGTGATAACCAGTTATTTAACAACTCTAAACCATGTACTTGTTAATAAATGGGGTGCAGGGGGATTTACAGGTGACATAAAAAATTAAAATGCATTCCAACTGTGCCAAGTGCATATGAACTTCAACCGTGTTGAACCAAAGTGATCACCAGGAGTAAAGGCCATTAACATGGATTTAAAAATAACCTCCATGGAAATGTCACACGCAGACCCAAAGAGGTTAGGCAAGTAACACACACATTTCAAGAAGAACATTAAACTTCAGCAGAAAGAGAAAAATAAATTCGCCCCACAGTTACATTCAGTTAAGCATCACATCCAACAAAAGCTTCGCCCAGTGGAAGAGCAAGCTGTGCTCAGCTGCCCCAGCCTGTCCCACCGGAGCTGGCACTGGCAGGCACACCTGGGGAACCTCCTCCTCCTCCTCATTCCTTTGCTTTGTAGCCAGGCCCCATCACAGACCAATTTTTGTTGCGCTTTTTGATGTAGTTGTTCGTTTGGACCCTATGGAGTGCTTCAGCTGTGCTCCATCCTACCCCTCAGGGTATCAGAACTGTGCTCATCACTAGGGGGTAGATGCTTCCCCTCCCTCCACACACATCTGTGTCCTTGGATGCTGCTGTTTCCAAGTGAAACCACATTCCAGACTTCCTTCCCTGAGGTTACCTTTGTTTCACTGCGTTTCAGTAAACCAGCACAGCCAGTGATACCCTACCAAGCTTGTTAGCTCTAAGAAATACAGAAATCCTGCAAAATAAAATTGCTCCAAAGCTCCACCGCTTTGAAAGAGAACCTAAACCTCCTCTTAAAGGTGACTCGCTTTTCCCAAAACCTAATGAGGACACAGACTCCAAGCAAAAAGCTCCTATAAAACTATTATAATTTTAGAAAAAAATCCAGATCTTCCTGAAGATAATTTATTGCCGCTTATTGGTCCTGAGAAAGCTTTAAGCAACAATACATTTGCACGTGTTTTAACTGCTGCCTTTTCTGAGAAAGTACGTGGGTCCTGAGATTAAAAATCATGTTTTAGTCTATGCAATTAAGCTTGGAAAATGCTTCAATATGCAGGTCGAATATGAATTACAATTTGTCACGCTACATGTTCCTCCTGTGCCAATTTATTAAACCAGATTTCCTTCCAGACACTAAAAAATTAAAGTTCTCGGGATGAAATGCAATGAAAAAACTCCACACGTGCGCTTCCTCACACTGGACTGGCATTTCAGGACTTCAGATCTTCCTTCTCCCTCATTCCCACCTCCTGTTAAAAGCTATGGTATGAATTTTTTGGCCTGGATACCAGAAAATTCCTCATCTGATACTCTGTGAAAGGCAACTTCAAGGCAATGAAATAAGCCAACAAAAACAGAAAAAACATTCACAACCCTGAAGAAAAAATATGGACCCACAGCAGTTACTTCTCAATGGAAGTGCTTGGTAGCTTGAGATTTTTTTTTCTTTTTAACTGTTAAAGTGTCAAATTTGCATATGTTTAACTCAACTTCAATATCTGAAAGACTACTCAATTTGCTTTTATAAAAACTTTACAAAAGATGTTTTTAAATGCTTGTAAAAGTAAGCGTTTATCTACTGAGAAAATTCTAGTACTGGATAAAACTCTGAATATACAGCTGAATTTTGTAAATGTTTTTTTCTCTCTCCTAGAAGTCTAACAGCTGAGTGTTTAACCTAGATAAATTAGTCTTAGACATGATGAAAAGTTATAACTTTGCACACTTTTTACCATGTGATGTTTTGTTGCTTTTTAACTTCGGATGAGACAGTGCTTAGGAATTTTCCGGAGCTGGTGTACAGTGGTCAGGAGGGGCCGGCTCATTGCTCGCTGCCCCTGTCCAGGTTCTCGATCACCCTGGAAAGGCGGATGTTCAGCAGTCTGATCTGACTATCCAGGTGGTCCATCTTCTCCTCCAGGCTGCTGTTGCTGTTTCTTCTCCAGTAAAATCCGACGGGGCCCGTCATGAAGTAGACGGCCACGACGAAGCAGAGCGGCAGCACGGCGTGCTCCGGGTCGCCCTCGTACTTCTGCAGGATGTACACGCAGGACAGGGTGAACAGGGCCACCCTGGCGATCCAGAAGAAGCGGCCAAACAGCATGTGCAGGAGATAGAAGAAGAATCCAAGGAAGAGAGATAAAAACCAATAGGCCAGTAAAATGGCACCGATCAGCAGGAGGGCGCGGGTCGGGTTGTTGGCAATCGCTGCTGGGCTGAAATAATGAGTCAGGTTGGAGGCTGAAAAACAAAGGAAAATGTACAGGATGTTAATGAGCGTGGGCTGAAGGCGGCACCGGGCAAAAACACGAGCACAGCTCCAAAGGGTCAAAGCCCCACAGCAGTGGGGTCACGGCTGTGTTTTCTAAAGTAAGGGATAAAGCTGGTTTCACCTATTTCTGGATGAACCTTCTTCAAATCACTGGCTCAGCTCCAGTGATTCGACTGAATTCATTCCAGGAAAGGTCCTAAGGGCTCTTTAAAGACAAACCACTGTAGAGCCTGAGGTCAAAATTCATACTGGGGCTACAGATCCTGCTTTGTACAAGCCACATTCTAAAGGCTCTCAACTGCATCTTTCCTTTCTCTAGTGCTCATTGATTTCCCTGCACTGTTCCTGGCTGTGTAAATCCGTTTAATGATGAACCAAGTGTGACTTGTCATTCGTTCTACACACATCCTGTAGATACACATACTGAAATGGAATGGTGGGGTTCAGTCTTCTTGTTTGAAGATACTAACAGGAAAATCAAAGCCATGTGAAGCAGAAAGAGAGACACCACTGATGGATGTTTAAGCAGCATGATAAAATGTAATTGTTTTCCCATTTGCTTGTAAACACTGATACAGGCTGAGACAGTTCAAGGGTGAGCAGGCATCACACTTACCATCAATTCCAAGAACATCTAACAAATCAGTCCATATTCTCCAGAATGTGTCCATTAATACATCCACCCCATTCACAAACCTCTCTGTCAACCTTGAGAAAAACTGAGAAATAAAATTGAAAATTAAAAAAATCCTCAATTCCTAAAGTAACACTTTGAGACTTATTTGTTGTGAGTAGAATTATAATTCATTAAGCAAGAATTGCAGATTATTTCCTAGTCCCCACAGGAAAGATTGTAAATCTGATTTTTTTTTTTAACTCTGTGATGAATTTATGTGTTGCAATTATCGTTATTGTAGGTATCTTGGCATGTAAATGTATACGTTGGCAGGACTTAAAAATGCACTTTATTGGCTTTACTATCGTTTTGAAGTTCAGAGAAAACACTATTACCCACAATTGGTAAAGCAAACCAAAGAATTAGTTTTATCAAGCAACTGAGAGATGTCCCCAGCATCACACGCAAATATCTCAGGTGTACTCAAAGGTTAATTCAATAAAAATTATTATTTCTTCCTACTGCCTGAGGAAAGCAGGATCAGAGGAATGTACAGCTCCCTCACGCCTGCTTTCCTGCAAGTTCCGATGGCCCTACAAGCACAGGATGCTCTGCTGATGCAGACAGACCGGATTTCAGCAGGAGGGCTCCTCACCGCCAGCGAGCGGCCCTGGCCGTCTCCCCCACCTAAAACCACCTTTATTTAAGCTTTGAGCTGCTATTTTTCCCCAGCGTGCCGCAAGCCTGGCCTCCCGCTTTCCTCCCCAAAGCAGCGCTCCGGCCGCCCCGCACCGGGACGAGGCCACGGCCGCTCCGGCAGCGATCGCGCACCGGGGGGCGACGGGGGCACGGCCCGAGAGCGGCCCGTTCACCGCCGGAGCACCGAGGAGGAGGGAGAAGCAGCGAAGGAAGCGCGGGAGAGGGAAGGGAGGATGGGGCGGGGGGGGGCGAGCAGCAACTGGCGCCTCACCTTCTGCAGGGCCCGCACGTTGTCCTCGCCGAAGAGGCCGCTGACGCCCTGGTAGAGGCCGCTGGCGGCGCGGCGGAGGCTGTTCTGGCGGTCGGCACCGCGGCCCCGTGCGGCCCGAACGCCGGGCCCCGCCGCGCCGAGCAGGAGCAGCAGCAGCAGCAGCAGCAGCCCCCGGAGCTGCACCCGCCGCGCCGCCGCCATGGCCGCCCCGCCGAGCCCGCCGCCGCCGCAGCGCCCCCCGCCGGCCGCGGCCCGCAACGCCGCCCTCACGGGCGGGGCTCCCGAGCGCCCGGGGAAATCACGGGAAAAGCGCCCGGAGCTCGGGAAAGGCCGCGGGGGGAACCGCCGGGACAGCGGGTCCTGCCCCTCTGCTCCGCCCTGGAGAGGCCTCGGCTGCAGTGCTGTGCCCAGCTCGGGGCTCCGGGGTACGAGATAAAGCTGCTGGACAAGGTCCAGCACGGGCCACAAAGATGATTTGGGGTTTGGAGTATCTCTTATGAGGAGAGACTGCCGCAGCTGATTTAATAGTCCATTGATGTTTAAACCGTGTGGCTCAGCCTAAGCCTGGTAGCTGAGTATATGTTTAGAATATAGACACTTCTGCTATGGCCTTTTTCCCAGTTTTAGTCTGGCCAAAGCACTTATTTTCATATTTAGCAGAATGGCCTAGACCTTTCAGCATTGTTTTCTGTTTGGCCCTGGAAGGGTTGGGCCCACATCCCGGAAGGTACTTAGGATTCGACTTCAGTGGGATATAGATGCTTTATATATTTATAAAGGGTGCTTTCATTTAAGATTTGCTGATCTCTTGATACCTGTGTACACTCTGAAGCCTCATCCTCTTCCAGAACAGGATGGTAACTGATGACAGGTATTTTTGAGGTTCTTACGAGGTTTCTGCTTATACGCCCTCAATTCCACCTTCTGCTTATGCTCTGAGCACACACTAAATGTCAGCTTCTGGGGCATTTTTTGCATGTAAAGAGCCTCATGATACAAAAAAAACCTTGGTGATAATTAACAGTCATGAGACTGCCATGTTTCTGTGCCTGGTATAATTCCTTGATTTACTCCCAGTTCTCACAGCCTTCTCTGTGCCCCCTTTGTGCTGTTTATAGTTCAGTGGGTCTTGTTTGTGCAAATTTGGGAACGTTCCTGTTTCTCTGTGTGAATTTCCGTGGTGGAATCCCTTCAAAATCCCTTCTTTAAAGTGCCTGTTGTTTCTTCCCATCTGTTCTTCACAGAGTTCTGGAGCTCGTGGCAGTGGCTTCCTTTGAGGGCCTGCGCTCTGGGCTTTGCACAAGATCAGGATAATTTGGGAAACTTTCCTGATGTTTAACTGATGTCCTGACCTGTCTCAACGAATCTATTTCAGGTACTTTTATCTCTCCCAATGCTCAGCTCTTATGAAATGACGTGGTATTTCACCCTCTTCGTTTAAATAAACGAAATAGCGTCCGCTCAAAGAATACATTGCGTCATGGCATGAAATACAGATCTCAGGCACGCTGAGCTTCTTGGTGAGGAGAGCTGGGAGGTTTCTAGAAAGGTCCTCTGGTGAGGGTCTCACTGTACAGAAGAAGCATGAATGTGCTTCTCTGTTTCCTCGTATGCGCTAAAAACTGGGGAAGTTGTCTTACTCAGAGATAGGGATTTAACAACAATTTGAACAGTGTTTGGAGAAAAACTGGGGGCTTCTAGGTGTCTGAGTTTGAGCAGATCGCAGGGTTCTCTCTTTGAAAGTCACCATTATGCTCAAAAAAGTGGCATGGCCTTAAAGAAAGCCAGTTGATGTTACTGTGGACTAGTTTTTAACCTCACTCACTGTTATATTCCCATCTTTACTTCATCTCATAGCCTCAGTCTGTCATCTTCATGACCATTTGTCATTTTAGACCTTTTTTCCTTAATGTCCTCCCCATGAGATTTTTCTTGCAATGTGTTTCTTTTCTTCTTTTTATTTTTTTCCCCCTTTTTCCTTCTTCTTTTCCTTTTATTTCTTTTTCTGCAAACACCTTTGATTTTGATTCTGGTTACTTGTACTCCTAACACCATATAGAGGTTGCAGAGATCATGTTCATCAAATGAGTCAGAAGTTTATTATTCTTATCCAGACTCATTAACCCGCTGGCTGATGCTCTGAATATAGGATTAACAAAAAACTTTCCAAAATCTTTAGATTTCCTAATCCAGCTGGTTCAATGGATCATGGTCAGGCCTCGGCATATTGCAGAGATCGCCCTGAGGTATTATTACAAAACTTTTATGTCATAGATCCAGGCATTTCACCAGTCAATTTAGTCTTACAGGTGACTCCAGGTTACCTCAGAGCCCACAACGGGATATCAGCAGCATTATTGCTGCTCATCAGCTCTGAAGCATCTTTTGAACAGCCCCTAATCTAATCTGAGGCAGAAAACATGATTTCATTTGTACCCTATTATTACTATTAGCAGGCATAAGGCAAGGCTTAAAAAGATTTGAAAATGGACAGTTCCAGTTAATCTCATTCAGGCTATTTTCCTCTGGCTATCCTAATCTAGTCTCCAAACTAATTGCAATAGTCACTGCAGTCCTCTTAATGCCCATTATCTCATTAAAGGTTTGCTTAATTTTCCTCTTTTTACTTCCCGTTTTTCCAAAGTCACTTTTGAAAGAGGGAAAAACTGCTTTGGATAAGGGAAAACTGGAATGAAGGCAGGGAACAATGATGCATAACCTGCTCTTAAGTGAGGATATGATAATAAAACTGCTGCTAATAAGTGAGAAAGTGCTATCAGGCCTTCCTGAAAGCCCAATTTTATCAGCAAATCCATCATACCCCTTCCTCCCTGAGCTGTAACTGGGTCAGTCCTTTCCAAATTACACCTTTTTCAGCTCAGCAAGAGGGTTTTTGGGTCCCTTCTCAGATGATACAGCTGCTCATTTTCTTTTTAGGACTAGAGGTTGCTTTGGGTGGCAGAAAGCGGCAGTTTCGGTGCTGCTTTTAGGAGGAAACGCTTTGCAGAAAGGGTGTTTTAGACATTAGAATGGCCTGCTCAGGAAGGGGGTGGAATGACCGGCCCTGGAGGTGTTTAAGGAAAGGTTGCATGAGGCGCTCAGTGCCATGGTGTGGTTGATAGGGTGGTGGTGAGTCACAGGCTGGAATCGATGGCTTCAGACGTCTTTTCCAGCCGAACTGATTCAGTGATTCTGTGCTTTTTTATCCTAAACCGGGCAATTTCGGCATCGCTGAGGGGAGCCACGGAGGGACCCCCGCCCCTCCCGCCGAGCGGCATGAGAGCGCTCCTCTGATTGGGCACACCTCCCCCTGAGCCGGCCGCTCATTGGCCGGCAGGGAGAGGGGCTTGAGAAACCTCTGCGCCGATTGGTCCCTGCTGGCGTCGGCTCTTCCCCCGTCGGCCCGGCCGCGAGGAGAGCGGGCTCTGGGCTGATGTGGGGCCAGGCGCGCCGCAGCCAATCAGACGCGGCGGCGTCACGGCCGCCGTGCCCGCGCGGGATCCGTCCGCAGCGCGGGCCCGCCCGGCCCTGAGGGGCGCGGTGGCGGCGGGCGGGGCACGGAGCCACCGAGTCACCGAGTCACGGCATCGCTCCGGTGGGAGAGGCTGCTGCGGCCATCGGGGCCAGCCTGCCACCCAACACCGCCTTGTCAGCCAGACCTGAGTCCTCGGTGCCGTGTCAAACCTTTCCTTAAACACCGCCAGGGACGGGGATTCCACCATCTCGCTGGGAAGTACATCCTAGTATCTAAATATTGTTTCTGGGAAGAAATTCTTCTTAATGTCCAACCTAAACATGTTTCCTGGGACAGCCTGAGGCCGTTCCCTCTGCTGTCCCTGTTCCATGGCAGCAGAGCCCGATCCCCCGGCTGTCCCCGCCTGTCAGGGAGCTGTGCAGAGCCACAAGGGCCCCCTGAGCCTCCTTTTCTCCAGGCTGAGCCCCTTTCCCAGCTCCCTCAGCCCCTCCTGGGGCTCCAGCCCCTTCCCCAGCTCCCATCCTGTCCTTCCTGGACTGAGAGGCCCAGAACTGGGCACAGGACAGGGGTCAGTAGGTGGCCTCACCTTCCTGAGCTGCGGCCCCCTCTGTACATGGGGTGGTCTCAGTAAAAATGAGAAATTACAGCTTTGCTTCCAGTCCTGGAAAGGAGCACCACAACCATAGATAGCATCATCCACCAGGTGTAATTCTTGACCTGTCCCACAGCCGGCCCTCAGCTCACCCCAGAGCAGGGCAGGCTGTTCATCGCCGGGGGTAAATGGTGCAGAGGGGCTGCCCAGAGGTTTGAGGTCTGTGCTGGTGTGGGAGGCAAAACCCTCCTGCCACTTTTGGGTTGTGAAGGTGTTTATGACACTACCAGAGCGTTAACCTGTGTAGGGACATCCACTGGTACACGACACGCAGACAACCAACATCAGTTATCTCTTCTGCAGGTCGCAGGAAGATGGATTCTTCAGGCACTTTCCCCACCACAGGCTGCGGATCCCAAGGCCATTGAACCCTCTGGGACCTGGACACTGCAGCTCCCGTCCTGCCTTCTCCCTTATCTCTGTGTTTGGCAGGTGTCTGGCCATGGATTTCACACTTCCACTGACCTCTGAGCGCTGCCAAGGCAAGGGAGGCACATTGGGCAGATAACATATCCCCGTTCCACCTCCACCTCCCCGAGGCCCTTAAGCTCTGGGGAGACTTATTTAAAAATATGCCAGATTTAAGGTCTGTCTCGAGGCAAATAAAAACTGTGGATTGTTTAAATCATGTTTCCACGGCCCTCAGATTTAATACAGGAGTTGTATTCTGGTAGCACAAAAATTCAAATTACGCGTAGAGCAAGCATGCAATCTACAACACGTATTTTGCTTTCATATACAGTACGCCTGCATAATTCCCCATCAAATTCTCACTTTTGAGGTTTCCGTGAATTAGAAGCAAAACCATGACCTTGAAAATAAGTTACATAAGCAGCATGGATACACCGTGAATCGTGGAGTCGTTTAGGTTCTAAAAGACCCTTAAAGATCATGCACATTGTTGAGCGCTTTATTACCACCAATTCCCGGCTGAAATAATTTGCTGCAAAATCCCGATGGTGACCAGCAGAGCCCTCATTTAGAAAGCAGGGAAGCAAGAATAAATTTTAATCCGAGGGGGAAGCTGTGTAGGCTGAGGGTGTTACACAAACGCAGGTTGAATGGCGAGGCCACGGAGAAACGCGT